TTCTTAAAGCAGTAAAAACGCCTAACAATAGGGGCTTGTAATTGTAAAAAGTTCATCATCTCTTTGAAAGCTAGAACGTCAACAACAACAACAACATTTATTTATACCACAAAGAAATAAGATAAAAAACATTAAGAAATTATATATTTAGCGCCTGCTTCTAAGCTCTTTCGTGTTACGCGGGTAAACAAATTACATCTAAATTTTATTCTTTTACACCGTCAAATTCGGTGTTCCGGGGGTGTTCCGCCGGTGTTCCGTGGTTTTCCGGTGTTCCATGGTGTTCCGTGATTTTCCGGTGTTCCGGTGTTCCGTGATGTTCCGTGATGTTCCGTGATGTTCCGTGATGTTCCGTGATGTTCCGTGATGTTCCGTGGTGTTTCGGTGTTTCGGTGTTCCGGTGTTCCGGTGTTCCGATGTTCCTGGTTTTAGTACATGCCATTTTTTATGATCTTGCGTTGATTGCATCCGTCCTTTTAATTTGAAATTCTTTTCGTCCTGGAAACAGATGGGAATTTTTAAGTAGTTTTCGTTTAACTTCAAAGAGATCTTCACCGCTTCTGTTGTTTTGGTGTTTAAGTATGGTTGATTTGGATAACAATAGCGCTTCACACCAGTTAGTTGAAAAGTAGCTACCTTGTTCAGTTTAGATGATTACAAGCTTGTGTACGTTAGAGGTCATGTCACTTGTTGGCCTGACTTAGAATAAAGTTCACTGTGAAACTAAATGCTGTCTCATCCTTGACGTCGGTATAAGCTCGCTCGAAGTAGATCTCCGTGTGCCAGGAAATCGTGACGAGTTTCCGTTCTCGCTGCCGAGTGGTCTCTACCGAGTTATTTCCCCCAGTTATTGTTGTGCCGTCCGCGAAGGTTCGGTTTCCCATTTTAGGCCGCGAAAACTTATCGTCACAAATAACTCTGACCTTCCTCGTCAACAACATGAATGCACCGGTACCCAGTTTCCCTAATAGCTTACTGTTTACTGCGTGGGATGGTTACTTTTGAGTCTTCTCTGGTATGGCCTTATGAATTAACAAATATTCTCCTTCTTCTTTAACAACCACATAACGCTCTTACATCTTGAATTCAATTTGAAACGAAGAGTTATCGTTGTGGATATAAGGTTTGAAAACTGGAGAACATCAGTTAGGTGAAATCCTCGAATATCCCCCAATATCAGCTGGGGAATATTCGGTCACGTGCTGCGTTTAGACCAATCGCACTCAAGCAAAATTATTTGATATATCATAATTTATATTATCTGTATATCATAGATTGTAGCATTATTTATTTATTTTTATTACAAATTCACTACACAAGAATACACAAACATTTAATATTAATTACAATTAAGGTTAATACAAACCATAAAAGGAAAAATTCTGGAGGAGACAACCAAAAGCGCTGACGCACCATACAAGTGATGCCCCCTCTAATTAAAAAAAATTTATTATCGTAAGTAATTATTATAAACTTTTTACCCTTTTTAAAATTGTACTTTAAAGTGGTTCAGTCTATCGACTGCAACAGTTATTATCCAAATGAAGATATGTTATTATGTTCTATTGAACATTTTCAATTTGAAAGGTAGGCACAAGAAACAGAGGCAAAGGTCACTTAATAGCACGTGTGTAGATCTCTGTGTTTTATTTCGCTATTTTTTTTTTTTCATTCTGCAAATTTACCTATAAGACAAACGGATCTTGACCATTCTCTACTTGCACATGACCCATTATCCTTTACGCCTTGGGGGGTAACTAGAATTCATTCGCCGCCATTTTGTTTTCGAGGCGTGACATTCGCTAGCTAAAAATGGGGGAAAATGACTTTTGCTGTGCCATCGGCTGCTCAAACAACCGCAAAAGAAACCCAGAATTACAGTTCTACAGGATTCCTAAAGATTCTTCACGAAGAAAAGCTTGGATTCAACGAATTAGACAAGAACGCTGGGAGCCTTCTGACAACACTCGCTTGTGTTCTGCACACTTTGTTGGTTGAGTTAAATCTGATGATTCGCAAAGTAAATCATACACTCCATCAATTTTCTGTCACAGCCACAATCTCCAGACGCCTTGGAGAAGTAGAAACAGTCTCAAAACGATCGAAAACGATGAAAACATTCCTCAAAAGCCAAAACGAAGGAGGCTTGTACAGGTAAGCTTTCTTGAAGTATATTCGAAAATATATGTGTCATAACCCAATCTAAAACACGACCTATACATATTCAAGCATGGTTTAATGAGTATATAATATTCAACATGTTTTTAGAGATGCAAGGAGGTAAAAGGAAGGCCAAAACAAGAAGAGCCATGCATAGACGACCACAACGTAAAGAACACGACTACTGTAGGACACAAATTGACTCAAACTCTTTGAAACTAGATCAATCAGTTATAGATGAGTTGACAAGATTACACCAGAGAGTTGCTGAACTAGAAGAACAGAATGACTGTCACTGAACACTTACAGATCCAAAGTTGTTTACAAAGGAGATTGTTCTTGTGGCGTTGATTACATTGGCGAAACTGTGGGAAATTTAGCAGTACGTATTGCGGAGCATTCAAACCCTACTCACACCTCTGAACCTGCAAAACACTTGCGAGAAAATCCATCACATTCTTTCACTTGGCGTGTTCTCTCCTCAGCAGAAACATTCCACAAGCGCAGGATTGTCGAGGGGCTAATGATCCAACAATTCCGCCCCAGTTTGAACAAACAAGTTATTTCTTATGTCTCCAAACTTTTCCCATCGGGAATCACATAAGAGATATATGTATGTACAGACGGTCAACACCTTCAACCCAGATGATGGCAAACAGCCGAAAAGGTTTGGTTTTAACCTTTTTTAACTTTTTAGCCTTGTATGTATAATATTTTTTGGAATGACTATCTTCAGTCACGTTCTCTGAGCCTTGATAATTTTAAAAATAATGACAAACAGTTTCAGACTTTTACTGGATAAAAAAGAAGCAAGTGGCCTTGAGCGCCTTGCGTCTGCACTCGCACCTCGCTCCGCAATTTTTTGACTTTTTATTTTTCAACCTTTTTTATCAATTTATATCTTCGATATTTTCTTAGTGTTAAAGCTATATACGTGATCTTAAATGGCATTTAGTTATTCAGGACGAATGATTAGAGCCATTTTACCACTGCATGATGGAAAACCACTCTACCGTGGCTTATGGCGTAAATTATGTGATCTGGGTATTGCGAGATTCAAGCCAACGCGCCGTGGTTGCCGTGCCGGCTGCAAGAAAAGCAACTTGCCTTCATCTCTTCGGCTGGTCGAGGAAGAGCTGAACTCTGTCGAATCGAATTACTGTCAGCCTATCGAGTTTGAGAAGAACGATAGTGATTTACATATTCCTTCATCTCAAGAAGCCGACTTATCAAATATTCAGTTTGTCACCTCTGAAATACTAAGACAAAGGACTATGTCCGTTCCCAAGCTGATGCTTGCAAATGTCATGTCTCTAGTACCAAAGATGGATGAAGTTCAGGAGTTTATTCATCGCAACAAGATCTGTTTGGCCTTCATTACTGAAACTTGGCTTAAAAAAATCGATTCCAGAAAGCGTTATCAACTTCCTTGGATTTACTATCATACGTAAGGACAGAGTTCTCAACAATCATGGTGGTGTATGCGTTTACATCAAAGATTGTGATATCAAGGACAAGGTCCTTCATGAACTTACTGTTGCCGAGATAAGGAAATTGTTTGGCTCCATCTGAGACTTACTCGTTTACCGAGGGGTTTTTCCTGCTTAATTCCTGGTGCCGTTTATCCCCCACTCGGCGGAGAAGATAATTCTATTCGAGATCATCTATTCCTATCATTTGCTCTGGCGGAGTCAAAGTTCCCGAACTGCGGCTTCATAGTTGCTGGCGATTTCAATCGTCTGGATGTTACAAGAATCAAGAAACATTTCCGACTAAAGCAAATTGTCAAATCTCCGACTCACAAGGACGTAGTTCTTGATTTTGCGTTGAATAATTTGAACGATTATTGTTTCTCCCGAAATTTTTCCACCTTTCGGGTTGTCTAACCACAATACCATCATGGCCTCGCCCAAAGTAAGAACCAAGAACTTGAACACTATGGAAGTCATTTAGCGTGACCCCAGAGCTAGCTGTAAAGCAGCAATAGGACGATATTTGTGTGCCCTGGACTGGCCTCTATTATTCAATTCTCTTCAGAGTTGTGAAGATTTGTTGACCACCTCTCAACAAGTGATTAGTACTGGTCTCGATCTACCCATGCCTTTGGGAAAGATCCGCGCAATTCCATCTGATATCCCCTGGATGTCCCAGAAACTAAAGTCGCTGATTCAGAAAAGACAGGAGGCTTTTTTTAAAAGCGGAGCAACTTCCATCCAGTTTAAGTGCTATAGAAACGCTTTCAACCGTGAGAGAAAAGTATGTAGGGCTAACTATTACGAGTCTAAAGTGCAACAAATCGAAAATGTGAACATCCCAAAGCCTGGTGGAAAGAGGTTAAGCGATTAAGTGGAATGCAGTCTCGCAGTTGCCACCTGCTAGGTAAATTGGATGTCGAAGAGATCCAAGATCGAACTGCGGAGGAAATTGCTAACACCATTAACAAGGCATTCCTTGAGCCGCTAGAAGAATACCGATCGACTAGTCCGCTGACCCCTTTGCCGCTGGAGGATTGTCCGGAATTCCTGGAGGTAACTGAAGAGAGAACCTACAAATTGTTGTCAAAGCTCAATCCCGCAAAGGCTGCTGGACCCGATGGTCTTCCAAACTGGCTACTGAGAGAGTTTGCTAGCTTTGTCGCCTTCCCGGTAAAAACCATCCTGAACGCCTCCTTCAGTGAACAGCGACTACCCAGTTCCTGGAAATATGATGATGTCACCCCTCTTCCGAAGAAAACGCCTGTGCGGAATCTGAAGAAAGATTTGAGATCCATCTCTCTGACACGATGTCTGTCCAAGGTTGCGGAGGATTTTGTCGTAACTGATCATCTTTAGCCCGCTGTGATGAAAGTACTGGATTCTAACCAGTACGGAGCTGTCCCAAAGTCCTCCACCACTATCGCCTTGCTCAGCATGATCCATGAGTGGATCACAGGAACTGACGGCAACGGATCTACTGTTAGAACGATCCTTTTTTATTATAGAAAGGCTTTCGATCTGATAGATCATGCCATTCTAATCAATAAATTAAGTAAACTAGATCTTCCTATTAGTGTAGTCAACTGGATTATTGATTTTCTAAGTAACCGGTTCCAAAGAATCAAACTGCCTGAGGAATGCCTCTCTGAGTGGACCTCAGTTCCATCAGGAGTCCCTAAGGGGACGAAATCGGGGCCTTGGTTGTTTGTGGTTATGATAAACGACCTGGTAATCGATGGCGGGCGTGTCTGGAAATATGTAGACAACACTAATGCATCTGAAGTTGTCGGAAAGGGCGCGGTTAGTAGTGCCCAAATTATTGCTGATAAGGTAGTCGAGTGGTCTCTGGCTAACAGTCCAGCTCAATAATGAGAAATGCAAAGAGCTTCGAATCTCTTTTGCGAGAAATAGGGTAATATTCGAGCCAATTAGGGTACATGGCAAAGAGTTAGAGCTCGTTGATAGTGCAAAGTTACTAGGAATAACAATCACAAGTTATCTGTCATGGAAAACCCATGTAAATGATGTTATCAAAAAGGCAGCCAAAAGGCTATACTTTTTAGTTCAGCTAAAAAGGGCCAAGGTTCCCTGCAATGACTTAGGGTTATTTTACATCACGTGTGTAAGATCAGTTTTAGATTATGTGATCCCTGTGTATTATTATGCTCTCCCAAAGTATTTGATTAATGAGCTAGAGCGAGTCCAGAAGAGGGCTTTAAAAATCATGTTCCCTGGCCTTAGATACGATGAAGCTCTTAACCGCCTCCCGGTTAGCTAAATGGATAGAGCACTGGACTGTTGTGCGGGAGGTCGAGGGTTCGAGCCCCGGCCGGACCAACACTCAGGGTCTTAAAATAATAGAGAAGAATTTGCTACCTCTCTATAACATCAAGAAATGGTTAGATATTCTAGTCTTTTCGGATAGGGACGAATAAATGAAGTCTCCTGCAGGGTTGGGGTAGGAGACGTTAATTTCCCACACACGAGATTACTGTGTGATGGATGTCCTCCCCTGGGGTTGGACGGGTGGGATATTGGGCGCCCTTAATTTGGAGCCTCGCTCTGTTGTGCGACCCTCACCACACTCTGGTGAAAGTGATTAAATAAATAAATAAACATGGAGATAGCGCCGCTTAGCGTCCATCACAGTGGTATTTGTGCCACGCTTTTCAAAGACATCCTAAGTGACTCAGACCATAGGTTACGGGCATTATTGCAGCCTTCAAATATTCGCTGCGAAAATAAACATGGAGATAGCGCCGCTTAGCGTCCATCGCAGTGATATTTGTGCCACGCTTTTCAAAGACAACCTAAGCGACTCAGACCAAAGGTTACGGGCATTATTGCCGCCTGCAAATATCTGCTTCGACGAACACGCAATTTTGACATTCCTAACACAAAACGTGCAAGAAGTAGTTTTATTATAAAGTCACGTTTTAATACAAATACGGTATAAATTAATGTTAGATCTTGTAGGTGGCTTTTCGAATTTAATAGTATTTTATTATATAGCATTATTATATATTTAGTAATTTTATTATTTACATTTCAACGGTACGCAATTCAGGCCTTTGCTGCTATGTATTGTTTTTCAATAAAATCTTTTCTATTCTATTCTATTCTACTCCTATGTAACTTTAAACCTTAATCAAAAGAGGAAAGGAAACAACTTCCTGGAAAAGGAAAAAATTCGATGTCCGGCTTTTGTTCTGATTTTTAGGTACTTAATTGCTTTTGAGCAATTGTAAGTTTGGTCAGTTGACAATCATTCCTTACAGATCATGTCATATTGCATTCTTTTCTAGTTTCACATGTTCTTGGTAACTCGAGTAAGAAGACCGACGTCTTACCACAGAACCTCTTCAGAGACCTCCTTGAGACAACTTGAACCGCGGTGTACCCTCGTAAACAGAAAAACAAACAAATAATGAAATCGAAAAGTCCCTGTATCTACGCCCACACAACAGAGCCACCTTCAAGCAATGATAACAAAAGTTTGGAATCCTAACAAGAAGAACAGCTGTAGGAACGTACCTTAAGTAAATTGCTACCCGACTTGCATAAAATACACCAATATCATTAAAATTTGATATGGAAAGTTTTTTAAAAGGTTAGGGGGTTTTTTATCTCAATTGTTGCTGGTGAAGTAGGCGCGAAAAAAGGCCTCTGAAAGACACTGAGAATTTTCCAAGCTCTCTCTGTGTTGTTTTTTCTTTGCCATGTCTTATTCGGCAATCATCAGCGTTTTAAAATAATTTAGGTGGGATCAGGTACGTAAGAACATTCGACCGAAGCATCCAACACCACGCAAAGCAGTAAAAAAAGAACAACAAACAAAGCGGAAACAAAATTACCAACTAGCGTATTTTTGTTTAAATCTCGAGTCACTAGGATTTTGAGGTTTTGATCTGAACGTCAAGGTGTTAATTGGGGCCAAAAGATATATTGGCTGCAGATCACGGAGCATTCATTAGCATATCTGCTCCGTTAATGCGTTTCTTCATCCGATAGGTAGTTTGTCTGAAGTTCTCAGCAAAAAGGGTCGGTTTTCATCTTATTCAGTTATCAAATAGGGTATGTATTTGTTTCAGGCTTGAAATAGTATCTTCAATATTCTGGTAAGAATATTTCTATGTTATGTTTCATGTTGTAATATTTCTCGTGATCCGGATATCTGGTTTTTTTTTTTTTTCATTTGATTTTGAGAGCTTTGCTTTTGGTAATACTTTATCGCAATTAAGTGTCTATCACAATGTAAAGTTTTACAAGAAGAAAACGCCGACTCAGCCAGGATCGGAATAATAATGCTTTAATGTTGAAGATAGATATTAGTCTCCTCAACACAGTACATAGTTGACGTTTATTCAATTTCTTTTCAATTTGTAAAGCAGATGTTTCACCAAATTTCTCTTAGCAGATGAAGAGCTATTTAACAATGAAATTATAAATGTTTTCCAGCATCTTCACTTTTTCATATTAGTTTTTATTTTAGTTCAGATTTTTTCAAAGTGCATCGCAGTAATCTGTGCAGAGTATTTACTCGTGTACCCCGATTTTACAAGTGAGATTAGTACGGAAAAGAGCTGATGTCATTAATGGTGACTGACGTATTGACAATTTGAGCGGAAATCCTTTTTCATCAGAGCGCTACGGTGAGAAGATGTTGCCGGTTGAGTATTATTGGTCTGATTCGCGAGGACTAATTGGTGTTATTTTGTTGCTGATTTCCTTTTTTCATCTATAAGTTGGACAGCGACAGACCGTGATTTGAACGAAAAACCGCTTTGGCCGCAGAATACCGAATTAAACAGAAAGTCTTCCTATGTGATCTTTTCACGACAATCAGCCTAATACCAGACTCACGAATATATCTGTGCTGGGTGTACAACACTTTCGGCTCGAGTAATCCGGAAGAGGATAATATTTCCCCTTTATAAGTGAAACTAAAATTTAAAGAATTCTTAGAAACCCAATTGCACCATTTAGTACCTTCTGAAAAAATCACGAGCATAAGTTTGCTGACGTTCGAGCTTTTTACCTATCTTGCGTAATATGTACTTAGTGACTGAGTGAGAGGACCGGAAGACAAAATATCTGGCTCGAAGTCATGACGTACTGACCGAGCGCAACGAGGTCCGTGCTTCCTGACCGAGAGCCAAATGTTTTCCTGTCCGGTCCGACCAAACTCAGCCAATAAGCATTTTATCGTTAAGTGTTAAGAATTTAAACCTAAATAAGACGCGATCGACGGGCACACGCAGTCACATGAGCACAAAAAAAACATTTGCAACCAAAACTTTTTCATTATTTTTTCAAGTCAGAACAATAAACTCCCAATTCTCATTTATTTTTTCGTTTGCAACAAAGTGACTTGAGGGCAGCAGGGCCGGACGACTTTTCCCAGACCGGCTCACGTCAACCCGTCCGGCCCTACGCACGTCAGATTTCACCTTGGTTCTATGGGACTGCGCGAGCGGGGCCGGACGGGTCATATGATAGATTGAGTTTTTCGACTTTTATATTGTTGCTGTTTACGGATCTTCCGGTATTTATTTCTCTCTTCCCTTACAATTCGCCGCCATGAAGCTTCTTTTAAGAGCTGTCGTTTTCATTTTATTACTGACGCCATCTGCTTTAACCAAGTCCAAAGTACGGTGGCCCATAAGTGCAAAACACAACACAAACACTGAAAACACAACACACGCAAAAGGAAAACACAACACACATGCTAAAAACACCACAAACTTATTTAACATATGTTTCATATGTTTGTTGTTGTTTGATTTATCATCTACGGGTTTATATCGAATTAATTTGATGGCCTGCTCCCAGTTGGCTTGTTAGCTCAATTGGTAGAGCGCTGCACTAGTATCGCAGAGGTCAGTGGTTCGAATCCCGTACAGGCCTGAAATTTTTTTCAGGTCTGATTTTCACTATTGCTCAAATAGTGCTTTACTGCGAAGGATCGTTCTCATATACGTCTCATAACCGCAGTTCACACATATGTTTCATATGTTTGTTGTTGTTTGATTTATCATCTACGGGTTTATATCGAATTAATTTGATGGCCTGCTCCCAGTTGGCTTGTTAGCTCAATTGGTAGAGCGCTGCACTAGTATCGCAGAGGTCAGTGGTTCGAATCCCGTACAGGCCTGAAATTTTTTTCAGGTCTGATTTTCACTATTGCTCAAATAGTGCTTTACTGCGAAGGATCGTTCTCATATACGTCTCATAACCGCAGTTCACACATATGTTTCATATGTTTGTTGTTGTTTGATTTATCATCTACGGGTTTATATCGAATTAATTTGATGGCCTGCTCCCAGTTGGCTTGTTAGCTCAATTGGTAGAGCGCTGCACTAGTATCGCAGAGGTCAGTGGTTCGAATCCCGTACAGGCCTGAAATTTTTTTCAGGTCTGATTTTCACTATTGCTCAAATAGTGCTTTACTGCGAAGGATCGTTCTCATATACGTCTCATAACCGCAGTTCACACATATGTTTCATATGTTTGTTGTTGTTTGATTTATCATCTACGGGTTTATATCGAATTAATTTGATGGCCTGCTCCCAGTTGGCTTGTTAGCTCAATTGGTAGAGCGCTGCACTAGTATCGCAGAGGTCAGTGGTTCGAATCCCGTACAGGCCTGAAATTTTTTTCAGGTCTGATTTTCACTATTGCTCAAATAGTGCTTTACTGCGAAGGATCGTTCTCATATACGTCTCATAACCGCAGTTCACACATATGTTTCATATGTTTGTTGTTGTTTGATTTATCATCTACGGGTTTATATCGAATTAATTTGATGGCCTGCTCCCAGTTGGCTTGTTAGCTCAATTGGTAGAGCGCTGCACTAGTATCGCAGAGGT